TGACCTTCATCTAAGCCGTGTCACCTCCAGCACATGTTGCCTCTGGATCAAGGCTGAGGCAGGCGGGGGAGGCTCAGGCTGCTGCTCCTGAGATAACTGGAAGGATCAGGGGAGCTGGGTGAGTGCTCAGTCTAAACAATGGCTTCAGAGTCAGAGCTGTGATCTTACTCAAATTAATTTCAAATATGCACAGTAACACAAGAAGCAATTTGCATAAGACGTCACGTGGAGTTGCATACAATTTCGCATATTTAAACAAAATACAATAAAGCACAGCTCGGGCGGGTATGTGAAATCATTTGTGCAGTGAACTGTGCAGGGAAACGACATACAATTATCACAGAAGAAGAAAACGAATAGCAGCAACCACCCAGGATGCAAAGTCAGCTCAGAAGTTGTGAAACACCATCCTCTTCCTTCATGCACCATCCTCATAGATGCTTGGAGTCACATTATCATGCACTGCTTTTCCACCAGGCTCTTCTGGTGCAAAGGATGGTGCTCGCTGTTTCATGCCACTACTCGCTCCTTCCTTCACATTTGCATCCTTGGCTTCAACTTTGCAAAGCACTCTCCTCATGTGTCATTCTTTCTGGGCTCCATTCATCTCTGAGTCTGAGGGACTCGTCTCTCACCACGCACTGCTCTGGGAGGTACTGTTCTTGCCCTTTAGTGGTAAAGGCCAGAGGCCAAAAGACTGGCTCTGGCAGCCCAAGGGCAGACACTGACAGCCTCATTTTTGGTGTTCTCAGTGCTGTGCATGTTCAGAATGTGATCCATATGGCTTAGTTCTTGATGCCTCTGTAGATCACATGAAGAGGGCTCCATCTCATCTCCTGGAAACTGATGACCAAACAACTAACATCATAAAAGGAAGCAAGAAAAGGGAAAAACATGCCTTAAGTGGGAATGTATGGATTGAACATCAGAGGGCTAAGGCCTTTAAACCTACAAAAAGGGACTTTCACACCCTGACCTACATTTTGTGACAATCCTGCATCTCTGACACATGGGCTGGGTCAGCACTGCAGCAGTGAGACTGAGCTCTGAGGGCTGACCCATGAGCATGTGCTTCCTCTTCCCTCCCCAGGAGACAGGCAGGAAGAAGAGGACCCAACTGCTGCTCCTAAAACAGCTGGAAGAATCAGAGGAGCTGGGTAAGCCCTCAGGCTAACCTGGTGCTTCAGTGCTGGCAGCACTCTGGTACCCATGAGTTCCCAGAGCCCTGCTTCACCCATCTTATCTTTATTTACGGAGTGCTTTTAATGCCCCCTAGCCCTAAATTTCTATTCTGACCCCTTCCTCTGACCCTACTTCTCCTTCCAGCCCCATCTTTTAATTCTAGCCACAATTTCTGGTTCTGCCCACTCTCTCCTCCTGTCCTCCCTCATGTTCCTGCACCCTATGCCTCTCTTTAGGCTTTTGCTTGACAGCTTCAGCTCCTTATATTTTAGTTAGGCAATTTGTTTGTCTCTGCAGGACTGCCTGAGCATCAGCAAAGAACTGTCACCAAAACCCTGGAAGAGGCAGTGTTATGCCTAGTCACCATTTTGTCCCTGCCCTCCTCTAAATTGCAGGTACACTAGGGAAAAATCTGTCTCTTCCTCATTTGCTGCACTCAGAATCACTGCACCATATAGTTAGCTACAAGTAAGCTGGTCAACATGAGTTGCTACAAGAACCCCTCATTTATTCAGGACACTCTTTTTGGTCTTCAGTATTGTCATGGAGACCCTGATGCTTAGTGTAAGAGAAATCTCATTATAAAGGAACCTCTTACGGTTCCTGCTGTGTATCCAGCCAACGCAGGGTAACGCTAAGGAGAGCCTCGGACCTCATTTATGTGATGTTCACTCACATGCAATATGTCACACAAGAAAGGAATTGGCAAAGCAGAAAAGGGCATCGGAGAGAAACCATTTCAGGCTTAGATAACATCCTGGTGTCACCAAATGAATCAATGTAATGAGACTGACACAAACCTCCACTGTAGGCATGTTTTACCACTGCACTCATGTTTTGATTAATGAGCATGTTCAGGCAAAGCTGTGTGTGTTCACGGTGCAAAACCTGGCTAGATTGACTCCCCTGACAGTAGAAGAGGACACCCACCACTGCCTGCCCCTTGGTTTGGGAAGGGCTCAGAAAGCTTCTACTGTCTGTGTCACTTTACCTAGGCTTAGATGGTACCTGAGAGTCATGATGCCTGTGATTCTGATGCATCCTTTCCTAGGCAAACTAATGAGGAAACCAATCATCTTGCCATTCAGGCCAGGCTGTAACACAGATTTGACCAGTGCATGCTGAAGACATCAAACTGTGTTCCTCTGATAGAAAACAAGTCACCCCAGGCTTGCTTGCTTGCTTGCTTGCTTGCTTGCTTGCTTGCTTGCTTGCTTGCTTGCTTGTTGAACCCTTGTGGTAAGTCCAGCTGTCGATGAAGTCTGGGCTTCAAACTAGACTGGCTGCCTTAGAGCATCTGCTCTCCTGCCACTGGAGCACTAACTAGGAGCCACAGAGATGAAGGACAGCACCCTGGAGCAGAGACTAGCATTTACTTCCCTGCCAGATCTCTTGTGAGGATTGATCTGAGGTTGAAGATAGTTTTGCTTGTATTCTGGTCACTCCCAGAGAAAGCTGGGCTTTGGATCAATGTGGAATGCGTCACTGAATGGCCTATTATTCACTGAGTGCAATGTGCACTCGGAGACACAGCAGCCCTCAATAAAGATTCAATTCTGCCTCTGAGGATCAAAGCAGGAATGAGCCAAGGGAACTACTCCACTCTTTTACATGACACTGAAATGAGAGGTTGGTTGTTTCAGGGCGACTCTTTATGGCAGTTTCAAGTTGTTCATTTCTGCTAATTAAATGGCCATCCATTTAGCCATGTCCCTTTAGTAGGGTGTGGAGCTACCTCTGATTTAAGCTCTCCATTCCTTCTGCACAAAGGCTTACACTTGAGTTTCTCCAGAGCACATGGAGTCCTAACTTCCATCCCCAACTCTGGAGAAGCTACCTGAGCAGGGAATGCAAGCAAGAACTCTTGCTCACTGCCACATGCCTGCAATACAAGCACTTCCAGCTGACAGTTGCCTGAATTTTTTTCCCCATAATGGGATAATTTATTACAGGTTATAGAAGGCACTCAGCTGGAGGGAATCCCAGATTTGGGAGATGTTTTCAAAATGTATTTCTGAACTACTCCCTTTTTCAGGAAATCACAGCGGTCAGCAATACCTCATGCTCATTTTTTTGACCATTCCTTGTGGTCAAAGTGATTTTTATGTGTCTTGAAGTGATTGTACAGTTTTTAGATGTTCTTCTTTGATTTAAATTATTGCATTCATTCCTTCCATCTCTGCTGTCCTCATTCAGCATGCAACTCCCAGTGCTAGCTCCCTGCTGGAGAACAGGATGAGGGGGAGATGCTAGGGAAGGAGGCAAGGTTGGAGACTGCAAAGGAAGTGAGATGCTGGGGAAGGAGGCAGGGCTGGGGCCAGGCTGGAAGGGGGGGAAGTCAACATGGACAGGTGGGCAGGAGTGATGTAGTGGGGAGTGGTGATGGGAGGGGACTAAACTAGGGAGTCAGTGTTTCAGGAAGCCAGAAGAAAAAGGGGAAGCTTGTGGAGCCTCTCCTGTGAGTCAGAGTGAGTCCTGGTGAAAAAAGGGAATGTTTGACTGAGTGCCTGCAGCCTCAACCTGTGCAGAGAGGGCACCAGAGGAAACGCATCTGATGACAGAGAAGTCAGCAAGAAGGGCCGAAGCTCTGCCTGGAAGCAGATGAGGTTTGTGCAAGACATTTCACTGCACTGATGAGTACATGACTGTAATTTCAGCACAGTGAGGATCTGTCGCCTCCTCAATCAAGTCTCTCCAGCCTGCCCAGCCCCAGAGCCACTGACTGGAGAGGATCAGCCACCTAAAGCAACAGGGGGAAGGACTCTGTCCTCTCGCACTCAGCACAGGGGCAGAAGAGGTGCTGTTCAGCCCCTTATGTGTGTGTACCCTGGGACAGCCATCGCAGAAGCACATCTGCTCTCTGGTGGGCCTGGGGCTGCTTCCAACCCACAGAGGTCCTGTCCAGGGCACAGGATGCCATGTGGAGGGGCCTAGTTCTGCAGCAGGAGGCAGTCCTGGATCCTTCCAGTAGGCAGAGATCCCAGGACAGAGTCTCAGGTCAAGTATGGTTTAGGGAGTCTGCTTCTTCCTCCAATAGTAAAGCAGAGAATCAGGGGCACCTCCAATGCTCAAAGACTCAAATAGCAACAGGACAGAGGGAGCAGGGGCAAAGTACCATTCCCAGCACCCTGCAATCTTCCTGCCATTGCTGGGGAGCAGCCCTTCGGAGTGGCCGTCAAGTCTGGTGTTGGTCTCCAGCACCTCTTCTGCGCCCCCTGCCCCCAGCCTGATTGCTGCCAGGCTTGCGAAGTGGAGGAGTTGCAGGAGACAAGGATGCTTAATTACAGAGCAGCCCTGGAAACCAGCAACAGCAGCAGCTCTGTGGCCAGGAGGGGAGGTAGCAGGGCTGTAAATAGAAATTGCGGAGGCAGCCGCGGGATACAGAGTGAGGGAGGCTTCTGTGCCTGCAGCACTCCATCTCCCTCCCTTCCCCTCAGTTTCTCTCACCTCTCCTGGACACCCTGGCCCCCAGCGTGAACCTGTGTGTGACAAGCAGCCCCAGCATGCAGCTGGGAGGCAGAAGCTCCAGAGGCAGGACAGCAGCTTTGGGTGGAGAAGTGGGTGAAGAAATGCTCCTCCTCCATCAGGGGCCACTTCCCATGAAGATGCATGAAGGTGGTCAAAGGGCCTCTTTGGTCAGCAAAGAGACCAAAGGAAGATAGATACATGGCCAGATTTCCCCCTCTACCTCAAAGAAGAGACTGTGGGATACTAGGTATCTGAGCCCCCATCCCACTGGGGTCTGCCCCAGGTGAAGTCCCTCCCATCCCACTCTGACTTTTCCAGTGTTACACCTTCCACAGCAGCGAGAGCTCTGCTTTCAATAATTTGCAAAGTTTTATTTAAAAATGTTGAAACTAACATCCCACAAGAATTGAATATTTCACCACAGGGAGAAGAGAAATCCTACAAAAATATATATCACAGCGCACAAGGGCAGGGGAGGGGGAAGAGCGAGACTGAGCAGGGAAGCATGAGGGAGGCCAGAGGAGAGGATGGAAGCCGCAGCAGAACGAGACCAAGTGGCAAAGGGAAAACAAGAGAGGAGTGGGGAGAGTGAAACAGTAGGAGGGGAGAGATACCCCGGAGGGAGACCATGGTACAGGACAGGAGTGGGAAGAGGGAAAACAGTGGGAGAGGGAAAACAACGGGGGAAGAGGAGTAGAGAGCCAACAGTTGGAGAAGGAAGGCGATGCCTCTCTATGATCTTGCCAAAGTAGGGCCAGCACTACAGTGGGACATTAGCAGGAGTGCAGATGGGCAGCTGGAGTTTGACCCAGGGCTGTTGTGCTGCAGGTCTCAGCTCTAAGGCTGTGCCACAGATGTGGTTTGTCAGAGTGAAAAAACAAAACCCCAGTTTAATTCAGAACAGTCTCAAGATAGTCGTGTTTGAGAACTTGCGGGGAATGAACAAACCACTCCTTTCCAAGCATTTTTCTTTATTGGGAAGTGGAGTGGGAAATGAAGGGACCAGATTTGCAAGGGCACTTGGGTGCCATTGAGGAAGAGGTAGATAGCCCTCTCTGAAGTTTTGGGATGCTTGGCTGGATGTGAGTCCCTGGAAACTGGACTGGAGGAGAGGTGTGGAAGCACACACCAGTGGTCTGTTCCCTGCCTACCAGTCACAACCAACCAGATGGGGAAGCCCAAGCAGGATTTGGCCTTGTGGTCATACCACTCTCTTGGGTACAGAGAAGGAGACTTCAGTTCCTGCTCCAAAACAGTATAGGGCAGAGGGGAGAGATTCTCCCTCAGACCTTTCCTCCCTCCCATTGCACTCACAGAGAGACCACCCTTGCGTTAACAAAGCCAGGGCTCTCCAGGAGCTCAGCAGAGACATAGTTCCTTCAACTCACTCAGCCCACCTGGATGTTGCCTTTTAACGGCAGAGAAATGTTGGGCAGGATCAGCCAAAAGCTGTGAGCATTTTCAGCTGTTTTCCCCACATGCTTTTCTCTCTGTGAAGTTTTCACTGGAAAAAAACAATAATCCAGACCTTTCTCCTCTGTTCACCTGGAAGCCAGGGAAAACTGATAGGCTGTGCCTCAGAAGGTACTGCCCTTTGCCCTGGCTTGGCATTCAGTGCTGTCAACACATCCATGTGCACATCTTACAAAATACTAGCCTGGGGCAGGGAAGAGACTACAGGCATGCTCCGGCTCCAGTCTCTGTAGGGGAAGAGGGTTTATAAGGCTCCAGTCATGGAGAAAACAGATTCAGTGAGACTATTTATTGACTGGAAGAAGCTTGTGTGTTTACATGTGTTTTGAATGTTTTGTTCCAGGGACAAAACAGCAATGAATGTTTGGGCAGAACCGTGAAGTTGTTTCCCCATACCTAACCTGTTTTGTGTGAGAGAGTGAATGACTGTCATAAAAAGATATTTGGCTAGGAAAATTGGTCTTAGAAAAGATGTTTGACATATCCAAGCTTCTGTTGTTGTAAGAGTTTTCTCTACTGCATTCACCAGCTTCCCCCTTACCACAGTATCCATGAAAGGTTTCACTCCCTGGAAATACTTTTACCAAAACCAGAGACATGTAAAAGGGGGAGGAAAAAACCCCAAACCACTGAAATCTGATTTGTTTGCAGAATTTACAAAAGCCTGGCCAGGAGAGTGCAGGGCTTCCATGCATCAAGCGTTGGAAAATGTTTTCACTATGCCTCTTGTGGTCCCCTCCCACTTTCTTACAAACCTTTTCTCCATGCAGCATGTGGAAAAACAAAGTCCAAGGACAGCCCTTGAAGTGAAGAGTCTAAACTCTGGCCTTGTTTCAACAAACACTGTTGATCAAAGATCAATCTAATTAATCTGGTCTGGAAGATTACTTAAACCAGTTCAAAGCATTATATTGTAAACTGCCAGCAATCAGGAGTGTGGCCTCCTGCAGACTGTGTGCAGATGTCCTTCCCCTTCTAGCATGGATGTGCCAGTGAGAGGGGGAACAGCCCCGAGCTGCCCTCAGCTTGCAGGGGCAGCAGCAAATGGGGCAGTGAGCAGGAACAGCCACCTGGCTCTTCTCTGTCCATCTGCAGCTTGAATGCCCACCAAAGCCTTGAATGGAGCCTGAATAAGAACAGGCTCAGTAACAGATCGATCTATGGTAAAGCACTAATATCCCCTGCTATAAGCACAGACTCAACCTGTGCTTAGACTAGAGATCTCCAGAGTCCTTTTCCACCTACACCTTTCAGCCATTCAGTGCTTTTAATAAGCCAGTAATTTTATTTGATCTGTCATTTTCTCCAATTCGCTACTGTTTTTTGCAAAGCTTATTGTAATTTACACTCTTATTTAAATGTCCTTCACAGTGAGTCAGATGGGACTCAAGATCACCTAATAGTTCATCTGGGTAAATGGGCAGAACCAGGCCTCTTATGAAATTCCCTGTGCTTTTTCTTACAAAGGATATGCTTTTACTACAGAGATAAAGTTTGAAAGGGCCATTTCCTTCTCTCCAACATGACTTTTGTCAGAAATTTTGTATGGTGCAATAGGGTCTTCAAATTGTGTGTGTTTCCTGTCTCTGGACACATCAGTCCCACAGCTGAAGGTGTTTGAACACTATAGGGGCAAACCTTAACATCATTTCAGCTCAGTGGCTATCAGTGTGGTGTTTTAATTAATTTGAAGGTGTCCACAAAAGCCAAGGGAGAGCAACTATTGTCATTAAGCTGAAATTTGCCATCTCACTCTTCCTCAAAGTGACACCCTGGGTCCACACATAGAAAGAGGTGGAGATGCACGGATCTTGCTCACAGTGACAGTGTGGCTGCCTGTCCCACAGACCACCACAGCCCTGAAGGACATGCACAGGCAACCAGTTTGGACAGACACCTGTGCCATTGCTTTCAGTTGCCAACTAGCTGGGGCAACACACTGAGGAAGCTTAGGACCCCAGATATCCCCTCTTTCATGCCTTTGGTGAATATTGCCTCATGGGTTTCCAGTCACTCCAGGAGAGATCTACCAGCAGTACATGGCAACCCTTCCAGTGTTCCCAAAGTCAACTCGAAATTGCTCTTTGTCATACCAGGCACAGAGAGTGTCTGCTGCTTGTTGCCTGTGCCATGAGGGTCTGAAAGCAGCTCCCTACCTCAGCCCCGCAAAACTCAAGTTCCTCATTCCCAGCTTTGTCTGCATGCCATGCTTTGGCTGCCGTGTCCAGGATGCTTGCTAAATAACATTGTGGGCAGAGGGCTTTGCCTTGGATTTTCTGAAGGACATCACCATAGACCGGTGTTCTTCAGAAAAATCTTGTTGAAGGAGACTAAGGGGGTGGAGGGGGACAGCAAGGAGGCTTTCAACAGATCAAAATATTTGGAAAGCTAAAGGAATCTTTTCCAGCTTTAACTGGCAAGAGAAGTGGCAGGGTGGTGGGAACTGAGGGAAAGAAAACTGTGAACGGAGAGATGAAGAAAGATAAAAGCTGAAGAGAAAAAAAACAGAGGAGCATTAGGCAGAAAGAAACTGGAAAGATGTGAATATTTTCCATCTAAGGGGAAGGCAACGTTTCCTTCAAGAAAATGGATTGTTGAGGGGGCCCAGGTGTTGTGTGAACCTCTTCTGCCCAAGCTTCACCCACCACTGGGATCTCAGGAAGGCCAAGGCCTTAGGAACAGAAGAACCTGCTGCCACCTGAGTCACCTTGGCTCAGGGGAGACCAAGCCCCAGCGGGCAATCCTGCAGCCACTGAACTCCAGACATTCACTGCAAAGCACACGACATGGGAGGAGACACACGGAGGGGTTAGGGCCCACGGGGACAGGGGTATGCCTTTCCACCTTGCCTACACCCAATGTCAGGCATGCACTGGTGAGAGAGTCATGGAGATCCAAGTGTGTCTGCGCACATATGCGAGGAGAGGGGCTGGGGAGGTCAAGATTTCACACCACCACCAGCTGTCTTCCCTCCCAGCATCCTGCTCTCCCATCCCCCTGTCCTGCGTGGGTGGGGGGGTCCCCAACCTTCCCCCAACAGGAGGCTAAGGAGGCCCAGCTCGTCCATTTGCCCAGGCACATCCCAGTGGGGTTAGTTAATAATGGTGGTGGTGGGCCGTGGCACAAGGAGATTGTTGTTTCCTGGGGTAGCAGAGGCAGCAGGAATCTGCACTCGCCGGCTGTGACAGGAGGGTGGGGGGAGCGAGCTCAGCCTCTCCCAGGAGCATCACAGGTTCACCAATGGGATTCTGGGGGAAAGAGAGAATTGGAAATTAATTAACGCTTACACTGCCCCAACCCACAACCCCCACTAACCAATGGCACCTTTGCCGTGCCTCATTCTACCTGTCCCGCTGTCCTCTGCTACCCCCTCCTGCCTGGCTCACTGGCCACTCACCGGTTGAGCTGGAAGGCTGCGTTCTTCCCATGGCCACCCAGTTTCTCCTGGCCCTGCCTGGACTCCTCTGCCTCAGGCGTGGGGGCCAGGGAGTCACCGTAGGGCCCCAGGATGCTGACGGTGGTGGGGGAGAGGTCCGTGAGAGGCTGCTGGCTCTCCTGCTGCCTCCCACTGCTTTGCTGCCCCGAGTGACGCCGGCGTTTCTGATTACGGTCCCAGCTTTGGAGAGAGCAAGGGGTGAGGGAAAAAGACAAGCCCCTGCCCTAAATGACAGACAGATCTGTGGGAAGGACCCCACTATGCTCAGTGTTAGAGCCCAACTTGGCTATGTGCCAAACCTTCCAAGGGCTTGCAGCACCAGATCTGCACCTGTGGGACAAATGGGTCCCAAGCCCACAGTCCTCCTGCCCACCCACCTGCAGACACCGGCATGGTGAGAGCCTCCAGCGGCCCAAACCCTACTCACCAGAACTTGAATATGATCCCGGTGGCAACCAGGACAATGATGATGGAGATGGTGATGGTGACGTACAGCTGGGGGTCCACACCTGCGAGGCAAAGGGAGAGAGGGGAGTGTGATGGCCACTCCCACCGGTCCCCAGAGAGCAGCAGGGAGGTTACATCTAAGTTTTGTAGAAGGAGCTGCTCCTGCAGGGACAGGAGGTGAAAGAAGCAAAGGGCAAATTTACCTTCCCCCCGGGGCCCAAACAGGAAGGGCCGCAGGGTGGCCGGGGTCTCCCGCAGGTTGAGCCCCGCGTTATGCAGGAGTGAGTGGGAGTTGGGCTGTGCCGTTGCCATCCCGTGCGGCGAGACAAAGGTGTATCCCAGCGGTGGGAAGCCTGGGTTGGCTGAGTTTGTGTCCCCTCCATCCTCATCTGACACCGTGGGACCCCACACGATGGCCCAGGGGTACTGGGAAGAGGGCATGCCGTCCTCAAATCCAGAGGGGGTGGCAGGACGGGCCCCCGCCGCCTGACGCCTCAGCCGCACGACGTGCCGCAGCTCTGCTCCCCGGGCAGGCAGGGCACGCTGGCGCAGCTGGGCCGAGCGAGAATCCCGCTCCGGCAGCGAGGTCCTTTCCCAGATGCAAATGGGCCGTGGGGCTGAGGGGCTCCGACGGGTGCAAAGAGGCCGAGAGGCCATTGGGACACGAGAGCGAAGAGACCAGATGCCAGGAGGAGGGATGGCCGAGATGACGAGGAGGAGATGCCACAGCTGCAGGGAGTGGATGCAGGAGAGGAGTGGAGGCATCCTGCTGCAGGGTGGGGGGAGGAAGAAGACAGCCTTATCTGAAATGTCCCTCCTGTTGAAAGGCCAGGCAGCTGGAAGCAGCCCACCACCCACACTCCTGTTGTCTTCCCTCCTCACCTGCCAATGTGGGAAGCTGTGAACCTACCAAGCACTGGGCTCCATCTTAGATGCAACAGCGTCTTTGCTCAGTGAGGATCTTGTCTCATCTTCTTCACTGGGAACCAAAAAGGAGGCGTGTCAGTGTCCCCTCACACAGCGGTGATGGCTGTCTCCCTGCAGGCAGTGTGTGCCACCCCAGGCAAGCTCCCGGCTCTGGCAGGCAGGATAAGGGGAGTCCATGCACCCACATGTGCACGCTGTCCTGCTCTCGTGCCCTCATGCTCTCCTGCACAGAGGTGTATCATACCCCTGATCTCAACACTGCACAGAAACACACGTGTTAGCATATGCTCACAAAAGCCAGGAGTGATGTCTGGAGCACACGTGCTGAAGCACATGCGCAGCTTCCCCAGGGACTCTAGTGTATGAGGGCCGAGAGGGGGATTCGGGATCTTTGTTTGCTTATCACTAAAACAAGTTGGAATCTTAATTCCTGTGTTTATTTATAGTGTAGAGCGTGTAATCCATTTATTAAAAAACAGCCTCTTCATTGTGTGCCAGAGCAAGGGAGCGAGAGGGGAAGCACGAGAGTGATAAACCAAGAAGACTGAGAAAGAGAGCGAATCAGCCAGAAAAGTCCAGCCTTACTAAAGAATTTGAGAGAAAAACTATGCCTATCAAATATTTAGTATTTACTTTCCTCTTAGCTAACAAAAAATTACCTTCCCACACTCCTCATCCTAATGTCCTCTGCACTGTCCCATCCCTCCCTTTCTCTCTTATTCCTCCCCTTTCTCTCTTGCCTCCCGTTGCTGAGCAGCAATAATACGGAGTAAGGGGAGGTCCCCTCAGCTGGATTTCTGCACCGGACGCGCACCACCCTCCGGCATCAGTCCGATGGTAGCACGGCTGCCCTTCATGCTGTCTGCCCCTTCCCTTGGCTGTGCACAGCGCGGTGCCGGCCCTTCCCCGGTGAGCTGTTATGTGCCTGACCCCAGATCCTCTCCGCAACCGCACGCACATACGGGAGGAAAAAAAAATCATGCGAGATGTTCAGCTCACTCCTTCACTGTGAAGAGGAAAGCATGAATGCCGACAACCCACGGTCATGCCCTCCTGTGGCTGCCAGGATGAAGAAACAGGGATGCTTGGCTGAGGGAGTGAATGCAGAGGCCAACCCTGCACCTCCAGCCCTGAGCAAGCTGTGCTGCACCTCCCGGCTCCCAGGGGGTTACTGCCATCCGCTCCTGCTCAGCCCATGTCCTGAACTAAAACTTCAGCCCCTCCTGCATGGGAGGCTTCCTCTTGCTGAGGGAAGAGCCTGCTGCTTACTGTGATGTACACCTGAGGAGAGGGGCTGGGAAGGAAGGGCACCCAAGAGTAAGTAGCTGTCTAGCTCCTGCTGCATTAACCGAGGATATTTTTAGTTTCCTTCTGTTAAATATTTAAACAAAGTTCACAGGAAAAAAAAGAATTGTTGGCTAATGTGCCCTGCCCCTCCCTCCGGGGCAAGATCAGTCTCTGGAGGGATCCTGAGATGAAGATGAGGAGAAAAGAGCAGCTATTCTCAGCATTTCTTTGTACTTTGCTCCTGAACCTCTAAGCCTTGGAGGGGACTCAGTGTTAAAATGCAGCTCTGCAGAGAGGCAGCAGAATGGAGTAAGATTCTTACAAAGGCAGAGACTGGGGAGATCTTGGCCATCTGGATTATGATCACGATGCCGTGGAAGATCATGTCTGGCAACACAAATCCGTGACAGAATTTATTTTGGACTTTGAAAAGGAGGGGAATTCCAAGCATCAAGGACCTCCTTGTGTGAGTCTCCAGGCTAGAGGGCACACAAGCTGCACACATGGTTTCAAGGTGGCCTGGAGTGCCTGGGGCCATGCCTGGCACTCACCATGAGACAGTAGGTTCCTAGGGTGCAGAGCCTGCTCTCTTTGTTGCACGGCATTCTCAGTCACAGCTCAAATCTTCAGGGGCTGTGGGCTGTTTTGCATCAGGCAGCAGATGTGGATGCAGCCATCCCAGAAGGGGAGGTCTTCTCCAGGTACTGGTAGACCTCAGTGCCAGTCCTTCAGGGTGTGGTACGGTAGAGGTGCAAGTGTAACCTCTATCACTCCTCCTAACAGCAGTGGCTCTACCCTCAGAAACATGAACTGGGTGTAGGTGTGCTGGCTCACTGCGCTGTCCTTGCTTGTTGGGAGGTCTTATAATGGAGACCTCGTTGTATGTCTCAGCTGAGACTGTGAGTTCCAGCAACAGCACCACAGACTATGGATTTCCAGGATCTAAAGCCTGGGAATAAGAAACCCTACAGAGCCAAATCCTGGATGGCTTTCACAATCAGTAGTCTAAATTTCAGCACTACGTAGCAGGTAATGGCTGTAATGAGCTGTAATGAGGGGAAGGAGTGAGCCCCAGCACTGACCACCTCATGTACACACGATGCTGGGGAGGTGACAGCCCGGACATGCGGCGTAAACCTCAGACCTGAGACACTGCTGTGCGCAGGTTCTGCTGCCTGTGAAGAGCCGGTGACTCTCAGTGCCCCCATCCCAAAGATGACTCCAAATGAGCGCGGGAATGAGGCAATGTCAGTCAGCCTCAGCTGACGCATTCTGGTTTGCTAATCAGGTCATGGCCGAAGACAGAGTGAATGTGTCCTGCACTGGCAGACCCAGGCCTGGTTGTGGAGGAGCTGGGAGCAGCACATAGCATGAAAGCTGTGGGACCAAAGGAAGGTTTCAGGTGGAAATGCCAGCCAGTGCAGGCTGGACACCACTGTGCATGCAGAGTTTATGTTCAAAACAGAGCATGGATGTCTCTGTGGCTTATTGAAAAACTAGCAGACAAAGCATGTCTGGGGCACTCTGCGGTCAGCCACTGGCATTTGAGACTGTGTCCTGGGCACAGACCCTGCTGCGTTGGAGGGCAAGCGTAACACATGCCCCTTGTTTGGCTCTGTATGCAGCTCCCAGTGTGGATCCTGAATAAACTGTTAGATCTTCAGAGAGGAAGAGAGGACACCAATGCTCTTACTACCTGGATGCATAAATCCCACCTTAACACCATTCAAGAAGACTTTGTGCACCAGAGCAGAGAGATTGGATTTCTGCACCAATACCTCATGACATAACTCTTGCTTTCATATGTGTTTCCCAGCTCTAATTGCAATAAAACCAGACAGGGCTACTCCCAGAGTCTGAACAGGAACCTGTACACTTTCACTCTAGGTACAGAGCCTTCACCACAGCGTTCTGGTCCTGTGATGCACAGATGACAGAGTGTGAATGACAAAGCTATTTCCCCAGGGCACTTCATTGAGCTCAGTTTGTGAATCTTGGTGCTTGAAAGCAGCGAGTAAGAATTACATTGTTCTTTGCTACTGCATATGGACCCCACCATCAGTACAGACTGGGGCTAATCTGTTAGGAGCTGCTCTCATTGCATTTGCAGAATGGAAACATGAATCCACTGCTGTTCCCCAGCATCAGGGACCCATCTGTGCTTCCTCCCTCTCTGTAAGTCTCCTGCAGCATGGATCCACCACTGCTGGGACATGAGAGAGCAGATCTCGGTAGCCATGCCCCAAAGCATATATACCAGTTCACCAAGGAGGGCTGGGAATTTACATCCTACCTAATGGCTAGGAGCAAAGCCTGCTGCACTCCTGTTCTGAGCAGGGAGCTCAAACTAAACCCTGAATGTGACACCCTGAGCTCTGGAGTTCAGATGCTACCGTGCCCCAGGAAAGCCCTAGGATTTGCTGATGATAACTCCTTCTCCATGTTCAGGACTCTTGTATACCATCATCCCATAGATAAATCCTGTCCAAATAAAAAAGTCACAGGAATAATAGAGCCAAGGTGCCAGACGTGTGCAGGCAATAACCATGCTGTAGCTCCCTCGCATCAAACGCAATCTGTAACCTTCTGTTACAAAATGCTGAAGTTTGACAAATTCAGGTGAGGAACAATACTATTAATAAAGAGGGTCACACACCAGCACAATTTACCTGGGCAAGTGGTGTGTTCCTTACTGCCTGGAGCCTTTGCCTGGCTGTATTCCTAAAAGAGATGCTACAGTTCAATCAGAAGTTATGGGCTTGGTGCAGGAAATTAAATTGGTGAAATTCTCTGGCCTGTGCTCTGCTGTAGGTCAGTCTCGATGATCAAAATGGTCCCTCTGGCCTTAAAATCTAGAATTGCACAGCTTTCTCAATGCTTAGCCGAGATCAACTCTGACTGGAGAGCAGTTGGATGAAGCCGAGCGCACACAAGCCGTGTTAGCGAGAAGCGGGTAGAGTCGCCTTCCATCTGGGGATGGGAAAAGAGTTGCACCCGATTCTGTCTGGCTCAGCTGGCAGATGATGATCTATCTGTATTTTTGTAACATCTCAAGCTTGACTGCTGTGATACTGTGCCTCTAGGAATGAAGCTGTCTGCTCTCAGAGTGTTCCAGCTAGTTCAAAATGCAGCAGTCTGTTTGTTCAGCGACTCAAGCTGCTGGGAAAGCATCACCATACCCCTCTGCACCCCACATCACCTCGCCTTTGAGCATAGGGTCTAGTTCAAGGTCTCCAAACCAGCATTTAAAGCCCAGCATGGGACAGGCCCCAGTGACCTAAGCAATCAATCACCTCTCCTTATGCAGCGATGACCTCACATGACGGATATATTCCACTGGAACAATGAAATTGCCAACCAGTTTGGGGAGAGGGGGAAGGGATGGAAGAAGGTTAAAGAGGCTCATGACCCTGAGAAACAGAACATTCACAGGAGCTGGGCCAAGATTATGAAACTTGCTGCTGGCTGAAATAACGCTCACCATTAGCAACCCCGCAGCACCGAGAGCTTCATGCAAATCCTTGCTTCACCCAGCTCCCCCACGGCAACAATCCCACTCAAAATAGTGATAAAAAAATCAAAACAAACCTTAGGAGGACCCAGCCCACCTCACAGAGAAGGAACGCTGGGTTGGCTGTAATTTTTTAAACTCAGAGCCAGCATTAAGGGCTATGGTGACAGCTACCAATATGAGATTGTGATCTGGGACCACAGAACCTGGCAGCTATCTCCAAGCACTGAGCAGAGCGAGTCCAGGCACTGGCAGCAAGCCCCTGACATGCACTGCACGGTGCCCTGGGCATCCCACATCTGTATTTTTCTCAGTGGTCATGAACATCCCAGAGTTCATGGTCCAAGAGCCAGAGATGCAGTTGTTACTGGTTTGGAACAGAAAGCAGGAAGCCTAGTGCTGGTGAAAAAGGGTTATATATACATCCTGCTGTATTCAGCTGGGTGGGGACAGGGAAAGGGAGGAATCTCAGGGCAGCTGCCCCAGGGAGGTAATTCTGCTGCACTCGGAGGAGTTTTGGCAGCTGGGAGTGTGAATCCAAATGCTGGTACCCTGGTATGGGAGATGCCAAGCCCATCTGGGGAAAGAGTTCCCACTATACATGGGGCTGGGGACAACAGCTCACAGAGCAGGCTGCATGTGGGGGCAGGCAGTCGGAATGCAGTGCCTCACGTCAGGCTGCTCTACCTGGTGTCTGAGGCTGAGAGGGTTGGTGGCAGTGCCCAGGAGGATCCAGCAGGACCGTGGAGGGGCTGACACTGCTTGTCTTGAATCAGTGCAGGTCCTGCAGCATTTGGTGACTTGCCAGTGGGAATTCCTGTGCCAGGGTACCAGGCTGAGCACTTAGGGGCTGGGTATGGAAGTTCTAAAACTGGGGCAGAATGCAGGGCTGGAAGGGTGATGATGCATTTGGACATTTTGGTAGCTAGGGAATGGGCATGTGAAGCCCATCAATGATCCTCTGAGCTTAAGTCTCCCTGCATTTGGGAACTGTGAATGTGGCCCCATTCCAAGCAGCACTCTAGGATGCCGGTCCCCTGCCATCTAGTGCCTGCCTGCAATACATGTTATGAGTCTGCCAATCTTCTGCCTCCCAGTTTCCTACTGTTCCCGGGCATCTGAGTGTTTCAAGTGCTGAGTCTCCACATCTGAATTGCTCTCTCTTGCATGGTGCACCCTTGGCCAGGCAGCACGAGGGACTGACCTCTCTGTTTCCTTCCTCCAGCTGCGCCAATTTGGCTGAAGTCGCCTTCCTCAGCACAGGCTCCAGTGCTCCAGCACAACAGGTCTGTGATGGAGCCCGAAACTGGAGGGCAAGAGGCAGCGATGCCTCGGCTGTGCCCCCTCCCTCCCATCCCCTCGGGCATCCCCGGGCCCAGACTGAAAGAGGAGGAAAAGGAAGGGGGAGGAAGGAGACAGCCGGCTAGAAGGAGACAGAGCACCTAGATGGGGAAAGGGAAAAGAAAAAAGGAGAGAAAGGACACAGGGAAGGAGACGGGGAGAGATGACTGGGAGACAGGCATGGAGCCCCCCTTCCCCCCACCCCTGCAGCCCTGTCCCTACTCTGTCCCCCAAGCCCGGGCCGAGAGGATGAACTTACCTTGCGAGGAGACGAGTGGGGCGCAGCCGGGGCGGCGGAGCAGGGGGCTGGGGGAGCACAGCTGCTGCTGCCCGTGCCTCTCATGGCCAGGACGAAGGAAGGAGAACAGGAGGAGGAGGAGGAGGAGGAGGAGGAGGAGGAAGGTTTGCTGAGGCTGAGCCTTGGCTGAGGGAGAGGGAGCGAGAGATGCCTTGAAATAAACAGCTGCCGAGGACTGGTCCAGCCCCTCTTTCTCTCTCTCTGTCTCTGTCTCTCTCGCTCGCTGCCTCCCGTTAACCCCATGGCTGCTGGCGCGGGCGCGCCCGGCACCGTGGCCCCGCTGTAGCCCGCGGGGGGCGCCGGGGTGGCCGGTCGGGGACAGCGGCCGGTCGGGGGCAGCGCATCCCCTCGGCCCCGGAGCCCCCTGCCCCGGTGGCCGGGCGCGAAGGCTCCTCCCGCTCCCTGCTCGCCCGCGCTGCGCTCCCGCAGCCCCGCGCCCGCCGGACCTGACCCCCGCCGCCTCCCCGCCGCCGCTGCCCGCTCCGCTCGGCTCGGCTCCGCTCGGCTCCGCTCCCTCGTCTCGTCGGTTATTTCGGGATCTTCACAGGAAGCGATTAGGTTGCCATGGAGAAAGGTGTCTCCAAGGGACCCGTCGCTTCAGCTCGCTCCGGCGAATGCCACCCCCGGACGGGTCCGTCCTTAGGGGGCGGAGGCCCCCCGGGATCCCGCTTCCCCGGGCCGTCCCCCAGGGCTCACCCCCGCCGCCCCCCGCCTCTCTGCCCCGCAGCAGTACCCTCGGGTAGATGCCACCTCCCGGTCCCGCCCTCCATCCCCGCATCCCTGCATCCATCATCCCCGCGCTTCGGGCCCCCTGGCTCCACTGCCCGCCGCGGTACCGGGCGGGGGGGTGGCAGACGGGCGACACCGGCGAGGCGAACCCCCGGGGGGGCGGGCGGCGGGGTCCGGTCGAGCCTCACGGGCAGAACCCGTGGGACACACGGGTGCAGTGGGAGCAATGGGGAGGGGGGGGATCCGTCCAAGGTGGGTTTACCCGTGGAGAGATCACCCAAGTCTTTTGAGCGTGTCCCCAGGCGTCGATGCCGGGGATCGATGGGATGCGTCTGGAAATGGTAGGGATGTGACAGCGAAATTAAAGAAAGAAGCTGATGTGCCTTTGAGGGGCCGGGTGTTTCACAGGGAAAATCTCCCTCCACCATCAAGAACCAAACAGAAAGCACAGACCAAATCCGAAGGGAGCAGCTGAGCAGCCAACGGGCGAGAGAAGAAAGTCAATGACAGAGAGACAGTTTCCACTCCAGGGTCTGAAATATGAGGAAGCAAAAAAGTAATTTCCTCAGATCCTCAAAAACAATCAAACTTTTCATCATAAAGCGATGAGGAAAGACTGTGACTGACCCTGGGAAAAAAAAATAAAAAATAGTAGAGACAGCACTGAGCTGTAAAGCAACCTGCCACTGCATCAGGAATGGACAGAGGTGACAAATGGACACACAGTACCAAACCTGAGCACGGCAGGATGCCTGGAACAGGTTGTGCCAACTTTGGACAGATACTGAGGGGGCTGAATTCTCCTGTTCTTCATCAGGGCTCCTGCGAGCTCCTGTGCTAATGAACCAGGCTGCTCCGAGCTTTCCCATGCCAGGACGTTCGAGTCTTGCATGTGTATTTTTGAGCATGTTTAGGAGAGCCGACAGGTTTTTCACATGCTTGGGAGTAATATCAGTGTGTGTTCGGACATATTGGCGTGGGGATGCGGTTCTGTTAAGGCTTACAGTGACTGGGAGGTCAGGGCATGGGAGGATGGTACTGCTGGGGTTTGTGTGAGACGCTGCACCACTGTGCGTCAACAGCCATGCACATGCTGAGGGCCCCGGCTTTTGTCCCCTTCATGTACAGGGGGGTTTATGTCAGAGATTATCCAGACTTCTGTTGCATTCTCCAGCCTTTTTATCTCTAGCCCTCATGGGACTTGTACAAATCATCTGTGCAAAGCTTGCTCAGTGAGCCCTCGCACACGCATCCCAAGAAACCTCCTGTACAGACATGGTGGAGCAACCACTTCTTTTCCTGCTTTCTCACCTGGGAGTAGAGGAGGGTAGAAGGCTCTGGAAGGGTCTACATCAGGCACACAGGCTCTTTCTGACCTTTTCAAATCCTGACGAATGTGTTTAGTATAATTGGGAAGCACAAAACAGAGGAGAAATTTCAACCAGGGAAAGGTCAGTTAAAGGGTGAAAATACAAATGACGCAAACACTGAAAATCCCCCTGAAGAGTAAAACTACAGAAAGCAGAAAAAGGAGTCAGCCATATGAGAGAGAACAAGGAGGAGGATTTTGTAGGGACCAAGAAAACACTGGGACATGTAGGGGGTAGTCAGGAAAACCACTGAGGTGATGGGAACAGCAAGTGTAAGGGCTGATGTCATTTGCGCATCACTCCTGCATGATATAAAGGGAATGGCTTGTTTGGTATCCTTTTCAAGGGAAAGCTAATGTAAAATTACAGAGAAATTTGAGGAGAGAGATCAAATCAGGTGTTATTGGCTGTTATTTCTGTCTGGCAAAGTCACTTGCAAATCATCCCATACAGATCATCGTTTACCCCCAAGACTTCTGAGGGCAAGCGGGCCAGTGCTGCTGTTTTTAGCATTGTTTCCCAAGGCAAGAGAGACCCATGTGGTTGCCCTGCTACCTGCAGAATTCTGTCCGTCTGTCTGTCTGTCTGTTAGTTGCCATGGATTTGACAGAAGAACCAGAGTCTAAAATGTAAATAAGCTCCAACAAATTGTATGAAGACTGGCAACCTGACAGAGGAAAGAGATGCTACCAATGCTGGAACAGAGCCCATAGCCATGCTGCTGGGCAAAGCCTCACAGATCAGAGCATTCCATCCAGCAGGACAAAAGAATTAAGCAGAAAATACTGGGAAAGCTGTATAATGCTATAGAGTGGTGGTGGAGGAGCCCAGTGACTATAGGGGAAAGGACTTGCAGATGTGGCAGACTGTGGAAAGGAGGTCATCAAGACATGAAGGTGTGGTAGTGGAAAGTATAGAATATATAAGAAAAGAAGTCCGTAGAGAACCCAGTTTCCTTGGCCCTGTTGCTCACCAAATAACTGGTTAATAAGCTCTGGAATATCAGAGACATCCCAGAAGACTGGAAGAGAGCTGTGCCCTGCCAATATTTGTAAAGAGCAAACACAAGACCTGAAAGTTTCGAGGCAAAAGCAACAAAGAGCTGATATGAGATTCTCCAGTTAATGCCAATCAGCCTAGTTTGGAAGAAAACTGATCTTTCTGCATAAACTTGTTTTGTTCTTGTCAGTCTTTGATGTGACTACAGGTTTGTTTGGAAAAGGTGATGGCTTAGATCTATCCAGGCTTCTGGAAGCGTTAATTTCCCAAAGCATGCTGATGAGAAAAAACAGCATTATGCAACATTAACAGAGCAGGAGGTTAAGTGAGCTGGTTAACTCCATTTAACGCCCTGCAAACACAAAGGAGGTCATCCCTGGAAGCCCACCATTGAGTGGCAGTGTTTCTTACGTGGATGCCCAGGAATGAGACCTGGGTCAGGTATGACTCACCATTTTATTCAGTGCTTGGTGAGCAGATATAGTTCATTCTGACACAATTTACTGAAGGCACAAATATTGCTAGAGTGTTAAAAATAAAGAGAATATGACTAGCACGGAATGACTTGCCCCACTCGGTAAGGTGATCATTCTCATAAAACTTCTTATAAGACTGTACAGCCATGAACAGGGAAAAAATGCCCATATCTACAGATAACAACTTACAGTCTTGAAAAGAGTAATCTGGAAAAGATTTAGGGATCATAACAGGCAGAAAACTAAACACAAGACCAGTGGTCCAGGCTGCAGGAATGAATCTGAAGTGATCCCTGGCCATGCAAAGACAGAAGTAAGGACAAGGAGTGAGGAGATGATTAATCCTCTCTCTGTGTCTGAATAAGTCCCATGCTGGAAAACTGTACAGTGCTTCATGCTCCATATTTTAAAAATAACTTTGAATCAAAGGTGATCCAAAGTCTGGAGATCTCAGTAATTTAAAGAGGTCAACCTGTTTAATGTATCAAAAAGCAGAACGAGACATGACTTGCCTGCAGTATCACTCCCTTCCTGGAGAAAAGTCTACCAGGTATTCTGGCAAAGAATAACAAGAGCCAGTCACTGGAGAGTGATTAATCACAGAAACAAACTACCGAGTGAAGTGCAAGATCCTCTCTCTTCTGGAGTCTTTGAATCACAACTGAAGACCTGTCTGGAAGCCAGTTCCTGATCTGCAAAATCCTGAGGGCTGTGAGAACAGATCAGAGGAAGAATTACCATGCAGTAACACTGTTTTTTAAACTTCTCTGTAAGCAGCTGATACTGGGCTGACTTTAGGTGTAACTAGGTACAGGTCTTATGCCTGTGTGTGCATTAGCCCAGTACAAGCTGAAGGGTTAAAAGCCTTCTGGATCATGTTGGTATCCAAGACATTCATCCCAGCCTCCTTTGTCCTTACAGTGTTTTTGTCTCAGAGCCCACGTTACACACAGTTGTGAAAAATGGTCTCATGAGATGTGACTCTGCTATGTTTGGAGAAGGACTGGTGAAAAAATATCTCCAGCATTTTGACAAGTTATTTGGATTCTGTGGTGTTGAAGAGAAGAACAACCTAGAATGAGCCTGTACAGCTCTACGGGCTTTAAAGTGGGACAGTGAGTGCATAGGAAAGAAGGTGGATCTACAGCATAAAGAGAATGGAGGTTTCTTCCTGGAAAGATCAGAGTGAGAACAGAAGAGAGGGATGATGCTAGGGGGTGGTTACAGCTAGGATCAGAAATCTCAAACATTCAGAAATAACAACACAAAACGTCTCCATGTCACAAGATTTATCTTCAACTTACGAAATGTCGTACAGGCTTGCTTTCATCCGCACCCTTCGCCTCCTACTTTCGGCTCTTTAGGTTACATGAAAATCACATTTCACAGTTTCCCTGTGACCATAAAGATAGGCGTTTGCTTTTTGAACAAAGCAAAAGCATGGGATTTACTGACTCCAGGAAGCTGGAATTTAATTTCAACAGCTGGCACCCCGATCTAGGGATGAGGCAGACTTTGCTAACTTATGGGGATTTTACTGATAACTTACGCACTCGTGAAAACGGTGACCTTGTCATTTGGAGAGCACAGGATCCGAGTCATTCAAAGAACTTTCTAGTCTTTGCCCTTGATGCAGGATAAAGAAGGAACAGATAA